TTGGTAATAGGTTTTAATTTGAAAATATAAATTTTACCAATCTGTTTCACAAAATTAAATTAATTAATTTATATTTGATTATAGCATAAAAGTGAATCTTTCTTACATCCTATTAATGGTAAATTTAATAAATATTTGAAATAAATCTGATATATTTAAAAAAATTTACATCCTATTTGGTATTTCATATTTTTATTGAATTTAAGCATTAATTTTTTAAAATAATTTAAATTAGTTACATTCTAATATTTTAACAAATTTTTTATATTCTTAATATTCACTTATTTTAATAATTGTACTTCTTTCTATTTAATTAAATTTATCTTCTAATATTCTAAAGTCATCTTTTAAATATTACTCGCTATTTTAAAATTTAAATTTAATTTATCTTCTAATAGTTTAAAGTCATGTTTTAAATATTACTTGCTATTTTAAAATTTAAATTTTATTTATTAATTTCTAAAAGAGAATTAGTAATATTACTCCCTTTTGAATTATTAAGATTATTCTTATGTCTTTTAAACTATTTTCAAATCTATTTACCAATCATTTCTATTTATATTCAATTTATTTAGTATCTTCTAACAAAATTGTTTAAAATTTACATTCTAATTTAATTGTTTAAAAAAGTTCATCTACTTTTATGATAATTTCTGTCTATAATTTACTTGCTTTTTTAAATTTTAATAACTTCTTTTTTATTTTTAATCAAAAAAAATATTTACATGCTATTTAAATCATAATTTATTCACCATTTTGAAATCAATTAATTACTATCTATTTTTAAAATTCACATAATTCAATAATACAAATTCATATAAGTTAAATCATACCCACTAATTCAAATATATAAGCATTTTTCTCAATTTGATATTATAAACCCAAAATAATAATTTTACATCCTTTTCAAATTTTTTATAATTCATCAAGCATAATCAATAGAATCAAAATTATTACTTCTTTTTGTTTATACTAAATTAATTTAGTCTTATTCTTCTAAAAAAATATCAAAAAATTATACTCCCTATTAGGTTATTTAGTTATTCGTTCATAATAAAATCCTTAAAATATTCTTTACTAACTGTTTATCAAATAATTTATATTATTCACCTACTACATGTCAACATTTTTACACTCTTTTTTGAATATTGATAGTTAATTCAGAATTTATTTTCTCATCAAAAATCATTCTAAAATATTAATTACTCCCTATTTTGAATATGAAAGTTAATTCAGCATTTATTTTCTCATCAAAAATCATTCTAAAATATTAATTACAGTCTATTTTGAATATGAAAGTTAATTCAGCATTTATTTTCTCATCAAAAATCATTCTAAAATATTAATTACTAGCTATTTTGAATATGAAAGTTAATTCAGCATTTATTTTCTCATCAAAAATCATTCTAAAATATTAATTACAGGCTATTTTGAATATGAAAGTTAATTCAGCATTTATTTTCTCATCAAAAATCATTCTAAAATATTAATTACTCCCTATTTTGAATATGAAAGTTAATTCAGCATTTATTTTCTCATCAAAAATCATTCTAAAATATTAATTACTAGCTATTTTGAATATGAAAGTTAATTCAGCATTTATTTTCTCATCAAAAATCATTCTAAAATATTAATTACTAGCTATTTTGAATATGAAAGTTAATTCAGCATTTATTTTCTCATCAAAAATCATTCTAAAATATTAATTACTTTCTATTTTGAATATGAAAGTTAATTCAGCATTTATTTTCTCATCAAAAATCATTCTAAAATATTAATTACTTCCTATTTTGAATATGAAAGTTAATTCAGCATTTATTTTCTCATAAAAAATCATTCTAAAATATTAATTACGTTCTATTTTGAATATGAAAGTTAATTAAGCATTTATTTTAAAATCATTCTAAAATGCTAATTACATCCTATTTTGAATATGAAAGTTAATCCAGCATTTATTTTCTCATCAAAAACCATTCTAAAATATTAATTACACTCTATTTTGAATACAAAAGATAATTTAATATTTTTAATAACATCAAAAAGACTTTAAAAAATAAATTACCTGTTTTTATTTTGAAAATAAATTGATGAATTCGAATTCAAAATGATTATTATACATTCTATTTTGAAAATGTAAGTAGATTTTAGTATGTTGTTTTAATGATTGTATGATAGATTACAATCTATTTAGGTGAAAGATTTAAATTGAGAAGTAGTTATTGAAGATAAAAAATGTGACCCTCTAAAAGAATATATATAAAAGTTAATTTACAACCGACTTTCGAATTTACTTACTTCCTGTTGATTATAAAGATAAATTTTAGGGTATAACAAAAAAATAAATTCCAAAAAATTACATCTTTTTTTGTGTACTAAAATAAATTTGGATGATTTAAAAAGGAAATTTATGATTAAAATAAGGTACTTGCTATTTAATGATTAGTAGAAAAAATAAATAATTTAAAAATAAATTAAATCATATTTAGGAGAAGCTAATAAAAAGAAATTATTGGTTATTATGTTAATTTAAGTTGAAACTTGTTTTTTCTTAATAAAGAAAGCTTAAAAATAATTTACATGCTATTAAGTATTAAAATTAAAGAACTTTGTTGTGTTTAAATAATTAAAAGTGAATACTCACTATTTAAATAATATTTTTATTCAGCTTTTTTTTGTAAAAACATTTTTTTTGTAATTACAGTTAATTTTTTAGTATTTCCTCCTACTTTTGCAATTTGTCTATTAAAGCTTTAGTTTTTTCTTCTAACTGGCTAATAGTCTCTTTAAGCATGAAATTTGCTTACTCTAATTCTGCTATTTTAGCCTCCTTTTTTGTGAATTAATTTGATTAAATTGAGAATAGATTGAGTAAAATTTGATAATAACATAAACTATTTTTTGAGTATCTTCTTTCAACTCTTCGATTAAGCTCTGCTAGTTTTTACTTCAAAAAAAGTTAGAAAAAGCAGTAGATTTAAAAAATATTCTTACATGATAGGATAAAACTTATTTGAAAAATCCTAAACGAACTCAATTTCATTTTTGAGTGAACTAGCGAGCTTTTGAGTATCTCCATCTATCATCTCAATAAGCATGTCATCTAACTAAAATTCTAAACAAAAAATTCCTTTTAAAACAATTAAAGCTTCTTTAATGGGCAATCTATTCCTTGGTACAAATTAAGTTAATCCATCAATAAGTTGTTTAAGATTTTTGTAGTAAACAAAATTTTAAAACTCACCATCATAATTCAATGGCTTATGCTTATTAAGTACTAAGTTGAAATCTATTTCCTAAAAAAGAGAATAAATCATATAACCTATTTATATTATATTTTATTTTAAATTAGATAAATGAAACCAGTAGATTTTTTATTTTATTTAATACCTAAAGAACATGCTTCGCTCTAATAAATTTACAAAAACAAGATAATTAACATTTAATTAGAATAGTTAAAGTATTTACTCTGTTACTTGGTTCTTGTTTGACTTAAACCCCTAAATTTTAATATTCATCATAATAAACCTTACCTATTTTGTCAGTTGGGTCATAGCATTCTGGAGCTTGATAAAAAAAGTTTCCCATCTTAAAATTTTTTGAATTGAATTAATTAAATTTCTTGTTAGTGTTGAGTAAAAAATTAATTTATACATATTAATTGTGTGAATAACCAGATTTAACTGTCAGTTTATCTCCTAATCCAAAATCACCTGTATATTAATTATATTGAGTATCTAGTCTTTTTTAAATTTGTTAATAATTTACAAACAACTGCATTTCCATTATAGTCAATTAAGATATTGTCCATTTTCAGATCATTAACAAGACAGTTCTTAGAGTGAATGTAGTAAAGGCCTTCAGTAATATCTTTAGCGTATTTAATTGCTGATATTTCGTTCAGTCTTTTGTTTTAGTTCTTTTCTATGATTTCTTTGAGAGTTCCTTTTTATACCAGACAATAAAAATTATATATAAAATTGGTTAAATATTTAATTTGCATTTATTTTTATTTAATAATAAGGCAAAATATATTGATAGATATTAAAATAAATTGTACCCTAACACTCATTTAGAACTAAGTATATGAACTATTTTCCTTCAAATGAGTCTAAAAAACTGACTACATAAGGACAGCCTGTACATTGTTTGAGTATATCTATTTCTTATACCACTTAATTATAAAATTCATCATAAAGATTTCCCTAAAGATCTCTCACTTAAACACCTTTGATGGCATATCTCATTTAATTTTTCAAATCTTTTGCTAACAAGACTAATCCTTGTGCTCCCGACCCTAAAAACCTAAAATCAGAGTAGCCTTTTTCAGTTAATTCAATTTTCATAGCTTAATACATTGAAGCTTATTAAGGGTTCAACTTTGGTTCTTTGATGTCAGAAACTTTTGGTTTACCAAGTTAAAAATTTATTAAATTTGGCATAAATTAATTAATTCGTTAATTTATTGATTAATTGATTGTTATAATAATTAAAATGTTTTTAATTTTAAATGTAGCAAATAGTAATTAATGTTTTAGTAGATATATTTATCGATCGAAGTCGCAAAATATTATTTTGATTTAAATGTTATTTACACATTAGTTCAGGTTTATCAAGCATTTGGACACCTTTCATTTGATACATTTATTTGACTCTCTTCCTATTTTGAATATGCAAAGCCAATTTTTGTTTAGCCTCTTAAGTTGCCATGAAATTTTAGCTGATAATATCCATTTTTTTATATTTCAATATTTTTTTAATCTAACAAATTAATTTGAATAAATTAATTATGTTCCAATAAACAATATTTCTTCATTTTTAAATGTTTATTTTTTTGTTAAAAACTGGTGTAAATTAATTAATGAGCAATTAGAATATTTAAAAAACAAAAATTTTCTTTTACAAAAATTATAAATATGACGTATCAAATCTTAGATAATTATATCAATGAAATTTAAATCTGCCCTACTTTCAATAATCTTTCGAATCATCATACAATATAAGATGACATCATCTATCAGATAAGCGAATACAGAGCAAATAGAAATTTATAAAACAGGTAGCCAAACGGAGAATATGAGGCCTCAAAAATTTCATCATTTAAACTGTAAAAAAGGATAAAATTTCTAGCTTTAATTAAATATTAACATACATATTTCACTTTTAAAACTTAAGCTTTTTATATCCTGAATAAAATTTACCAATCATTTATCTTAATAATAATAAAATTTTAGTAAATGGTATTAGGAATCTAATTTTGGAATATAAAATATAATAGAAAAGTAAAAGTATAATTTATATATAACATAGTTCATCTAATTAATGAAACTTATTTATCGAATTTCTCACAAGTTATATTTTAAAAGAAGAAAAAATGTATGAATATAAACAGATTTTAGCATTTTGTTAATTTCTAAACCAAAACGATTTGTTATTCTAAATAATTTCATCTTAAAAATTTAAATATGGTCAATTAGTATGTATACTTGCTTTTAAATATAAATTATAACAAAATAAACTAAAACTTATAATATAGATAATAGAATTAACGAATATTAAATGCAATATTATTTTAACTCTATGTATGAAACTTTATTTAAATATTTTGTCTATTTGACTGAAAAATCTACATCTATTATCTTTTTACTGCTTTAAATATTTTTCTGATTAGCTTATTTACTGTATAAGAAATTATCACTTATTTATGTCATAAAAAGTTTAATATAATTATTTTTACAGTTTTTTTAGTATAATCTTGCTTTGAAACATTCTATCAACTGATTATAATTTATATTGTTAGAAATGGTTTTCTTTCAATAATATCAAAAATAATAGAGAGCTATTAGAATATTTATCAAATCAAATTTTCCTCCTTTACTAAGGTTAAATACATATCTAATTATTAGATAAACATAGATTTCAATAAGGGAAGGAAGTAATGCAAATATGTTTATAATAATTTTCTAATGTCTTAAAACAATCAAATATTAATGTTATTAATGACTTTTGAAAATAAATATGAAGGAAAAATAAATAGATATTAACAATTTATTTATTAATAGTAAATGAGGATGAAAAATAAAAAGAATATTAAATATCTCTAAGTAAATTAAAAAGAATCATAAGAATGAAGATTTATTTAATTTTTAAAAAGTAGTAAATATGATTAATAAAAACTTCTAAATAATGTTTAAAAGCATTAACCTATATATGCATTAATTAATTAGAATTATATTATTAATATTATTTTTTATGGAAATTATATTTCGCTGTTGTCTCAACACCTTTTTCAACTTTTTCTACTTTGGATTTTAAGTATAATTCTGAAGAAAGCTTTTTTAAGTATCTAATAATGCTAAAATGATGCTAGAAAGAGCATTTTTAGAGTTATTTTATGAAAATATTTTAAATATTTTATACGATTTAGCATTTATTTAGTGAAGCCAATTAAAATAAATAAAATAATTTATCTTTTCTTACTTTTTTTCTATAATAATGCTATATATTTTTTTTCATTATTGCATCTCTCTCTCAGTGATAAAAATGGCCTAAATATTAGATATTTTAAACTTGCTTAAGCCTATTTTTTTATTAATTTAGAATTAGCCATAATATAAAACCTTAAACAGTATTTACCTTAAATTCAAATCAAGAGATTGTTAATCATTTAATCCATTTGTGCAAGAGGTTGGAAAAAATATTTTTCTAAACTAAAGCGTACTATGCTAGGCAAAAAAAAGCAAGAATTTTGTAATTTTGTTAGGTTATTGCTTGATTCGCTTTCTAAATTATGCTAAATCTTTTAAAAATTTAACATTATATGTCATTTACTTACTTATCTATGGAGGGATAAAAAAAATAACTCCAAAAATGATTTTTTAAAGTTGCTATTAGACCATATTTATTGCAAAAGCACAATAATGAATGATTCATTTAAACTTAATTTCCCTTAGTGACGCATATCTGGCTGTCCTCTAAATTGACACTAAGTAGTACCTGAGATGATTGGTGTGCTAAAATTTATCCTATAATCTTTTTGGTTAATCAAATAAGAGCTTTTTGCTTTTATACTTTTTACAAAACCATCTATTTTAAAGAAATTGACTATTTTTCTTAAACTCTATTTGTATGATTTTTCTAATCTAAATGCAGTTATAAGGATTTTTATTATATTTTTTAAATAAAGAAAAAGAAGAATACATATTTAGAGTTTGTATTTGAAAAATATTTTTTAGAAAAAATAAGACTAATAGGTAGATAGATAGATAACTTATTAAATTTGTATAATTAACATTAATTTCTTATTAAAACTTAAATTATTAAAAGGTGTAACTAAATTACTGATATTTGTTTATGAAATTTATGCACAAATATAGGAAATTGAAGCAAACTCTCAAATATTAATCACTCTTGATCTTAGGTAATTAATAACTATAAATATAACTACCAATAAATATTATATATACTATTGCTAACTATTTTGTAGTTTAAAAAGATTCTATTAAAATTCTTTAAAAATAAATAATTAAAATAAAAGTGATAACGAAAATGGAGTTGGAAGCCAATACAAGTAAGTTATGTTAAGGTTTTTGAGTAGCAAGCAAATTGAAAAAATATCTAAAATTTAATTTTTTTTCTTAGGTAAAAGTATTTTTACAATTTACATATTATGTAAGTAAGTGGATTATTTTTAAATTTAATAATAATAAATGTAAGTAAAATATATTAAATGGTAAAATTCAATTACAGATTTAAGTATTTCAGGCTTAAACTAAGCTTTATCCTGTGTAACTTAATTAAATAAATAATCTGGAACTTTATCTCAAGTAATATTTTTAACTTTAATCTTCAACTTATGTAAATAAATTTGACATTACTCTCTAAATGTATAAAAGATTATTTATTTTTTATTCATTTATCATAATAATGTTAATTATATTTATTATATTTTAAGTTTTACTGATATTGGTGACTAGGGATCATCCGCTTTAGGCTCTCTCTGCTTTATCAAATTGTACTAATCTTACTAACTTAATTTTTTAGATAAGGTAAAAACAATAGTTCTACATTTATGATTAATACTTTCAAAATTATAAATTAGTTCTTTTGATTGAGAATTTTTCTCATCTATTTATTATTTTTATATTCATTTGCTTTTATTTTAAAAGCTAAAACTAAATTGGATCTTAAGGAATATCATGTCTTTCTGTCTTCTGCTTTAATAAAATGCTTAAATATTTAAAATATTTCTCTCTTCTTTAGGTAAAAAGATTACTTATTTATTTATATTTTTTATTTAAAAAAAATATTTAATTTGATAAAAGCCAAATATTAATTAGATATAAAAAAATAATAGAGCTTATTTTGATAGTCAAATAAATATTCATGAAATTCAAATTTTATTATTAAAAATTTTCTTGTATAAATTTATATTAAGATGGAACTAAATTGAGAAAGAAAGGCTAGGCTTTAATATTGCTTAGAAACCTTTAAACTTTAATTAATACTTGATTTAAGGTATCTAAAATAATTTTAAAAGCAAGTTGTTTTATAATTTAACTTTGTTTTGAACTTAAATGGTTTCATAAAAAGTTAAAAATATGTTATTTCATCAATTTACCCATTTTTATATTATTTGTTTATTATTCATATGAACTAAAAGCTTTATATTCTTTCTTTTATTTTTATTTTTTTTGATGAAATTGATTTATATTTTATAAAACATTTATAATATCAAAATCTTAATCTATTTATTTTGAATTAATTTTATCTATTCCCCAATCACTTTCTGAATCATTTTCTTTTTTTTCTTCTTTTAACACTGAATTTTTTATAGTTATATATATGTAGTACCCTAAGGTAATGCCTTTTTAATTATAATTTTTTCTTTTTCAATAAAAATTTAGAAATTAATTCTTAACCACTACAGAAATTAATTAATTAATTACCCTCAAAATCCTTCCTAAGAAAATTTAGCTAAATTTTAAATTATTGATGTAAAAAAATAATTTATTTTTAAATTATAATAAATTAAATTAATAATTAATTATTATTCTATTAAAAAATATAAATAAAAATTATATTTTTTAATAAACAAATAAAAAATATATTTCAAAATAAGTAGCAGGCAAACCATGAAATTTTTGTATGGCATCTTGCTATAAATAGAGATATAAATATTCCTAAAATTACCGAGTTAAAACAGAAATATCTACTTATTAATATTATTTTTATAATATTTAAGAATATAAATTACTAGATTTTTTTCAAATATAATTAAATAAATAAATGGCCATCTCTAATTCCTAATATATTTATTTCTAAGTGTATGTTTTTACAAATATTAAATTTAAAAATTGAATGTTAAACTAATTTTTCTGTGATATCTCTTCATAAAACCAAATGAAAAAATTAATATTTGATAATTAATTAATTATTATATTTATTTATTTGTTCATTTTATTCATTTATAATTAATTAATTAAATTTCATAAATTGCTATTCAATATTTTTGAAAAAAAAAAAATATGATATAATAGATTAAAAAATATAACTAATTAGAAAAAGTAATTATTAATTTATTTATTAATATCCTTTAAATTTATTTAAATTAATAAAAAAAGTTTTTAAGCTCTTCACTTTTATCTCATTAGGTTCTCCATATTGATCTGAAGTATAATTAATTAAAAAAATTACTTTTATTATCATTAATAATTTTTGTACATTTAATTTTAAATTTATTTAAATAAATATTTTTTATAAAAGAAATGATCATCAATTTTTATTTATTGATTTTTACAAAAACAAAACTTTTTTAGCTATTTAAAAAAAATTTTCATTTCAATTTTTTATTATTTATTATTTGATATTTTTTCTTGATTTTTTGCTATTAAAACTTACACAAAAGCAGTTTATTTTTTTTGTATTGTAATATTTTTAATTATAAAAGATAATTTAAAACATTAAATATCTTTTAATTTATTTGGTTTGTTTTCCTTTTTATTTTTATGATGATTTCTTATTTTTTCATTTTTTGTTAATTTTATTAATTATTAATTAATCTTATTATTTCATACTTTTTGTTCATTTTATCCTCCTAATTAACTAGAGTAAAATGTCTATTTAATTTATAAAAGGCGAAATGTAATATATCTTAATAACATAATAAATAAAGCTAAATTAGCTTAAAACAGCTTTATTTTTGAGTTTTTAGAAATCTTAAATTCATTTGAAAAAAATTAAATTTTGAAAACCTAGGATGGAAAAAAATTCATAAAAAATATTTAAAATTTTAATTTTATAAAATGTAAAAACTGGTATTTTAAACTCTCTTTTTGTAAGTTTGTATGGCAACTTGCTCTATTTAATGATATATTTTTTCTTCAATATTAAAAAGTGACAATTAAATTGGTGATGAAGGTGCATTAGGCTTAAGTTCTGCTTTAGCAAATTGCATTAATCTCTCAAATTTGACACTTGATCTTCGGTAAAAACAGTTTATTCGTTTTTGATTGTGATATTTTAAATTATAAAAACTAATTAAAAACAATAAAGCTCTATTTTCTTTTTCTTTTTATTGTGCTTACTTTTTTTTTGTTCTTTCTTTGTTAATTTAGCTCATCATTTTATTTTCAACTTTTGCTTTTATTGCTAATTAATTAATCTTACGGTTTCATATTTTTTCTTCATTTTTTCCTTCTAATTAACTATTTAATGATATATTTTTTCTTCAATATTTAAAAAGTTTCAATGAAATTAGTGCAATGGGTGCATCAGGCTTAGGTTCTGCTTTAGAAAATTGCATTAATCTTTCAAATTTGACACTTTACCTTGGGTAAAAACAGCTTATTTGTTTAGGATTATGATATTTTAAATTATAAAAACTAATTAAAAACAATAAAGCTCTAATTTCTTTTTCTTTTTATTGAGCTTACTTTTTTTTTGTTCTTTCTTTGTTAATTTAGCTCATCATTTTATTTTCAACTTTTGCTTTTATTGCTAATTAATTAATCTTACGGTTTCATATTTTTTCTTCATTTTTTCCTTCTAATTAACTATTTAATGATATATTTTTTCTTCAATATTTAAAAAGTTTCAATGAAATTAGTGCAATGGGTGCATCAGGCTTAGGTTCTGCTTTAGAAAATTGCATTAATCTTTCAAATTTGACACTTCACCTTGGGTAAAAATAGTTTATTTGTTTAGGATTGTGATATTTTAAATTATATAAACTAAGTAAAAACAATAAAGCTCTATTTTCTTTTTCTTTTTATTGCGCTTGCTTTTTTTTGTTTTATCTTTGTTAATTTAGCTCATCATTTTATTTTCGAGTTTAATTATTATAATTATTTCATGTTATTTATTCATTTTTTCCTAATTAACTATCTAATGATATATTTTTTCTTCAATATTTAAAAAGTTACAATAAAATTGGTGCAATGGGTGCATCAGGCTTAGGTTCTGGTTTAGCAAATTGCATTAATCTCTCTTATTTAACACTTAATCTTCGGTAAAAACAGTTTATTTCTTTTGGGATTGTGATATTTTAAATTAAAACAACAAAGCTCTATTTATTTTTTTTTTATTGTGCTTGCTTTTTTTTGTTCTTTCTTTGTTAATTTAGCTCATCATTTTATTTTCAACTTTTACTTTTATTATTAATTAATTAATCTTATTATTTCATTCATTTTTTCCTTCTAATTAATTATTTAAAGATATATTTTTTCTTCAATATTAAAAAAGTGACAACTAAATTGGTGATAAAGGTGCATTAGGATTAGGTACTGTTTTAGCAAATTGCATTAATCTCTCAAATTTGACACTTGACCTTTAGTAAAAACAGTTTATTTGTTTAGGATTGTGATATTTTAAATTATAAAAACTAATTAAAAACAATAAACTCTTTTTTCTTTTTGTTTTTATTGCGCTTGCTTTTTTTTTGTTCTTTCTTTGTTAATTTAGCTCATCATTTTATTTTCAATTTTTGCATTTATTATTAATTAATTAATCTTATTATATCATATTTTTTCTTCATTTTTTCCTTCTAATTAACTATTTAATGATATATTTTTTTTAATATTTAATAAGTTACAATTAAATTGGTGATGAAAGTGCTTCAGACTTAGGTTCTGCTTTAGCAAATTGCATTAATCTCTCAAATTTGACACTTCACCTTGGGTAAAAACAGTTTATTTGTTTTGGATTGTGATATTTTAAATTATAAAAACTAATTAAAAACAATAAAGATCATTTTTCTTTTTCTTTTTATTTTGCATGCTTTTTTTTTGCTCTTTCTTTGTTAATTTAGCTCATCATTTTATTTTCAACCTTTGCATTTATTATTAATTAATCTTATTATTTTATATTTTATCTTCATGTTTTCCTTCTAATTATATATTTTTTCTTCAATATTTAAAAAGAAACAATTAAATTGGTCCAATGGGTGCATCAAGATTAGGTTCTGGTTTAGCAAATTGCATTAATCTCTCAAATTTGACACTTGACCTTTAGTAAAAACAGTTTATTTGTTTAGAATTGTGATATTTTAAATTATAAAAATTAATTAAAAACAATAAAGCTCTAAATTCATTTTTTTTAATTGTGCTTGCTTTTTTTTTGTTCTTTTTTTGTTAATTTAGCTCATCATTTTATTTTCGACTTTTGCTTTTATTGTTAATTAATTAATCTAATTATTTCATATTATTTATTCATTTTTTCCTAATTAATTATTTAATGATATATTTTTTCTTCAATATTTAAAAAGTGGAAATTAAATTGGTGCAATGGGTTCATCAGGATTAGGTTCTGGTTTAGCAAATTGCATTAATCTCTAAAATTTGACACTTCTCCTTAGGTAAAAACAGTTTATTTGTTTTGGATTGTCATATTTTAAACTATAAAAACTAATTAAAAACAATAAAGCTCATTTTTCTTTTTTTTTTTTGTTCTTTCTTTGTTAATTTAGTTCATCATTTTATTTTCAACTTTTACTTTTAAAATTAATTAATTTTATTGTTTCATATTTTTTCTTCATTTTTTCCTACTAATTAACTATTTAATGATATATTTTTTCTTCAATATTTAAAAAGTTACAATTAAATTGGTGATGAAGGTACATTAGGCTTAGGTTCTGTTTTAGCAAATTGCATTAATCTCTCAAATTTGGCACTTCACCTTGGGTAAAAACAGTTTATTTGTTTTGGATTGTGATATTTTTAATTATAAAAACTAATTAAAAACAATAAAACTCTTTTTTCTTTTTTTTATTGTGCTTGGTTTTTTTATCTTCTTTCTTTGTTATTTAGTTCATCATTTTATTTTCAACTTTAACTTGTATTATTAATTAATTAATTTTATTATTTCATATTTTATCTTCATCTTTTCCTTCTATTTAACTATTTAATGATATATTTTTTCTTCAATATTTAAAAAGAAACAATTAAATTGGTGATAGAATAGAATAGAAATACTCGCACATATAAATGCACTCAGAATACAACTTAAAATTAATTTTTAATATGTATATTTATATATATTTTTTGTTTTTTATTTATTTGATAATTATTAAAGAAAACCATTTAGAACAATTTATATCTTATTTATGAATATTTTGCATATATACCCATTTTCTTCTTTTATAAAAAAACCTAAAATTTGATAAAAATAAAACGTAAAATCGATATTTTCATATCACGCGCAGCTGTTGTAAATTGGTGATGAAGGTGCATTAGGCTTAGGTCCTGCTTTAGTTAATCTCTCAAATTTAACACTTTATCTAGAGTAAAAACAGTTTATTTGTTTTAGATTGAGATAATTTAAAAACTAATTAAAAACAATAAAGCCCATTTTTCTTTTTCTTTTTATTGTGCTTGCTTTTTTTGTTTTGTTTTTTCTTTGTTAATTTAGCTCATCATTTTATTTTCAACTTTTGCATTTATTATTAATTAATCTTATTATTTCATATTTTTATTCATTTCTTTCTTCTAATTAACTATTTAATGATATATTTTTTCTTCAATATTTAAAAAGAAACAATTAAATTGGTGCAATGGGTGCATCAGGCTTAGGTTCTGCTTTAGAAAATTGCATTAATCTCTCAAATTTGACACTTTATCTAGAGTAAAAACAGTTTATTTGTTTTGGATTGTGATATTTTTAATTATAAAAACTAATTAAAAACAATAAAGCTCTTTGAATTTATTTGATAGCTTTGATTTGATTTACTTTTTTATCTTTTTTATTCTACTAATATTATTTTGTTTATTAATTTAAAGAATAATTTTTAATTTAAAAGTTTATTCTATTTTGATATTTATTTAAAATTCACACAAATTTATTATAAAAGTTATAGCTCAATGAATGAATCATTAAAATTCAAAGTATTAAGCAAGTGCCTTAAATCAAAAAGATTAGTTGTCTTTAATTTCTAATGATAAACAATTGGTGAAAAAAGGATGAATAAATATAAAATGTTTGAATAAAATTATATATTTTATTATTTAATATTTTGACAAAGTGTTTTTAACCTAAAATTAAAATAGATAGATAAATTGATTTTATTATTAATTTTTTTTAACAAATATAATTCATATTTTTATTTTTGTAAGTAAATAAATTATTTATAAAAAATAAAAAAGTTTAAAAATTAAATTTACTTAAATAAATTAAATCCTCTTAAGTAAACTCACCATTTTCTCCAAAAACGATCAAATAATTTGAAACTTTTAGTGTTATATTATATCTTATTAAATTATATAAATGCTAAGCTTTTATATGCCAGTAATATTTTAATCTTAAATATTATTCATCAATCATATTTCTATCCTTATTTTATTTATCATGGTTAATTAATTAGATACCATGATTTAAATAAAATTTCAGGGAAAAATTAAATTTTACTTTTGATTTTAATTTTTGTGGTTATTTATTTATATTGAATTTGTAAATAATTAATTTTTAATTGATGTTATTAAGAGTTTACAGTATTTAATTAACAAGCAAATCATATAGGGGTAAATCAAAAGCTCCTTATAGTCATAAAATATCATTATTGGAATTTTTCCTTGATTTTCTAGTTAAAAATAGATTTTGTTTATGGAAGGAAGTAATGCAAATATGTTTATAATAATTATTGAATGTCATAAAAGAATAAAATATTAATGTCATTAATGACTTTTGAAAATAAATATGAATGAAAAATAAATAGATACTAACATTTTAAATTATTAATAGTAAGTAAATGAGGGGAAAAAATAAGAAAAATATTATTTATCTCTAAGTAAATTAAAAAGAATCAAAAGAAGGAAGATTTGTTTTATTTTTAAAAAGCAGTAAATATGATTAATAAAGACTTCTAAATAATGTTTAAAATCATTTACATTTATATGAATTAATTTCTTAGAATTATATTATTAATATTATTTTTTAGGGAAATTATTTTTCGCAGATATCTCAAAACCTTTTTCAACTTTTTTTACATTCGATTTTAAATATAATTCTGAGGAAAGCTTTTTTAAGTATCTAAGCATGCTAAAATGAAGCTAGAAAGAAAATTTTTAGAGTTATTTTATTAAAATCTTTTAAATATTTTATATGTTTAGTATTTATTTTGTAAAGTCAACTAAATTTAATAAAATAATTTATCTTTGCTTGCTTTTTTCTATAATAATGGTAGATATATATTTTTCATCTATTTATTTCTCTCTCAGCAATAAAAATGGCTTATTTAGGAAATAATAGATATTTTAAACTTGCTTAAGCCTATTTTTTATTAATTTAGAATTAACAATCATAAAAACCATAAAACATATTTACCTTAAACTCAAATCGTGTTACTCCTTTTTTCTATTTTTGCAAGAGGTTGAAAACATAGTTTTTCTAAATTTAAACATACTTTTTCAGACAAAAAAAGCAAGAATTTTCAAATTTTGTTAGGTTGTTGCTCAATTTGCATTCTAAATTTATGCTAAATCTTTTAAAAATTTAACATTATTTGTCATTTCTTAACTTTTCTGTGGAAGAGTTAAGGAAGATGTTCAAAATTAAATTGTTTTTTTTTAAATTTTAATAGATATTTGCAATAATTACTTATAAATATTAAAAGCAAAATTAATTCAGGGGTATTCTATTTAATTTAAAGCAAACAATTTTTCATTTTCATAAATACATATTAATGTATTTTTATTTTTAAGAAAATTTTTTTATAGTTTTACTTACCCAGTTTATTTTAATTCAAAAAATAATTTAAATATTTTTTAAGTGATATTTAAAATATTATTTTTTTTCATGTTTAAAAAAAAAAAAAATATTTAAAATTTAAATTACGAAAAATAAAACATAGAAATTTATATCACTAAAATAATATTACAATTAATATTAGAGTATAATTCAGGTTATTAATATATTTTTATAACAAACAAAAATACAAATAAGAAATAAAAAAGAGCATCTCTGATTTAGTGAATTATGTTCCCTGATTCTAACAAATATTGTGTGTTGCCTCACTTTTGTAAATTATTTATATTAGATAGTTTTTAAATTATTTTAGGATAAATCAAAAAATAATAATTATTATTTAAATCATTAATTACTTTCTACTATTTTAATTATGCTTTTAATCTTCTGTAACAAACATTTTATATAAAATTTACCCTTTATATTCAAATTTTTAATGAGAAAATAAATTTTATTTCAAATAGTTTACTATCTATTTAAGTAGGCAGTATTAATTAATTGGATTCTTAGTAAATTTATTACCAACTATTTTTAATATTTAAATATTTGATACTATTTCAATTACTCAACAATATTACTTCCTATATTATTATTATTATTATTATTTTTATATCCTTTTCTCTTAAAATAACTTAAATATTTTACAATCTAGTTTACAATTTAAAATAATTAATTATTTTTAAATTATTAATACTAAAATTCTACTCACTATTTTAAATATTAAAATATATTTTTATTTCCACCTTTAAAGCTTTAAAAACAATTACTATCTATTTTTTAAAACATTCACTTAGATTATTAATCAAAATTCACAAATAAAATATTTACTCGCTATATTATTCAATATAAAATTAATATTCCCTTTCTTTTAGTTATCTTCTTCCAATCATTACCACCTATTTTCATAAAATTATTAAATTCCTTAATTCATTATTAAAACCATTTAACAATATTACTCGCTATTTTCAATTTTTATTTTATTCATAATTATATTCCTCATCAAAAATCATTTTAAAATATTAATTACTTGCTATTTTAAATATGAAAGTTTGTTCAGTATTTATTTTATCATCAAAAATCATTCTAAAATATTAATTACTTCCTATTTTGAATATGAAAGTTAATTCAGCATTTATTTTCTCATCAAAAATCATTCTAAAATATTTACAGTCTAATTTGAATATGAAAGTTAATTCAGCATTTATTTTCTCATCAAAAATCATTCTAAAATATTTACAGTCTAATTTGAATATGAAAGTTAATTCAGCATTTATTTTCTCATCAAAAATCATTCTAAAATATTAATTACGCTCTATTTTGAATATGAAAGTTAATTCAGCATTTATTTTCTCATCAAAAATAATTCTAAAATATTAATTACTTCCTATTTTGAATATAAAGTTAATTCAGCATTTATTTTCTCATCAAAAATCATTCTAAAATATTAATTACCTCCTATTTTGAATATGAAAGTTTGTTCAGTATTTATTTTATCATCAAAAATCATTCTAAAATATTAATTACTTCCTATTTTAAATATGAAAGTTAATTCAGCATTTATTTTCTTATCAAAAATAATTCTAAAATATATATTACTCGCTATTTTGAATATGAAAGTTAATTCAGCATTTATTTTCTCATCAAAAATCATTCTAAAATATTAATT